TTTTTTAAAAGCCCATCTTGCCTACAAGAGTTATGTGCCGTTGAGTCACAGCGACCCTATACACAATAGCCCTGAAACCTGCTCTATCCTGTGCCAATCATAGTGTTTCTGGCTTCCTCTCTTGAGCTGTCTCTTCACCCTTCAAAGTGTGATGTCCCTTTCCAAGGACTGGACACTCCTTGCAAAGTATGCCCAAAAGTATATTGCCCAAAGTATGTCAGACGAAGCCTCAGAAACCTTGCCTTCAAGGTTTTAACCCTCTCCAAGAAAACCTGTTTTTACTCCTGGCAGTACATTGTATATTCAATACTATTCTCCAGCACCACAGCTCAAAGACATCTATTCTCTTTCTATCATCCATAGTCATTGCCAAGCTTTCTGACACACATTAAGTAATTGCAAAGACTACGGTTTGGATCACACACATCTTAGCCTACAAGAGACAAATCTAAAAAAACAAGAAGAAAAAAAATCCTTAGTTCGAGTTCCTTGCCCCCTTTTTTTAAAAACATGATTCCCACTAATTTTATTCTCTAAATTGATGATGTCTTTAGCATATATTAGAAACACATGACCTTAGAGCAGAGTAATATGTTACCATATATGTTCCAAATATGCTTAATTATTTGGCATAGATTAGTTTTCATTCATTTTGAGAAATTCTTTTTTTTTTTCATTTCTTCTATAACCCAATAATGATCAAGCATTGTGTTATTTAGCTTCCACATGGGTGGTTTTAATTCTTTACCCTATTGTTAATTTCTAGTTTTATAGTATTGTGGTCTGATAAGATATGTATTATTTCATTGTTTTTTAATTTGTCAGAATTTGCTCCTAATATGTGATCAGTTCTGGAGACTATACCATGTACACTTGAAAAGAAAGTAAATTGAGTTTTAGTGAAGTACCCTGAATACATCTATGAGGTCAAGTTGGCTAATTGTATAGTTTAGTTCTTCTGTATCTTTGTTAAGTATCTTTTCCAATTCACCTGTCTTTTGTTGAAAGTGATGTGTTAAAGTCTACTACTACTACTACTACTACTACTACTACTACTGTAGTATTGTCTGTTTCTTTTGGCAGATCTATTAACAACTGTTTTATGTATTTTTAGGCTTATCATTTCATGTGTAGATGTTGGCTAAGGTTATGTCTTCTTGAGCTATTATGCCTTTAATCATTATCTAGTCCTTTCCTTTAATGGTGGTTTTCATCCTGAAGTCACAGCTTATTTTTACTATTTATTGGTATTAGTATTAGTATCAGAGATTAATATTGCCGTGCCTGCTTTTTTTGTGTGTGGATGCCATTTGGTTTGCATATTCCACCCCCCCACCCCCCCGCCTTTGATGTCACCGTCAAAAGACTGGCTTCTCCTGATAACATTCCCAAAGTATGTGAGGTAAAGCCTCACAATTTTTGCTTCTAAGGAGTACTGTGGCCATGCTTCATCCAATATAGATTTTTATTATTTTTGCAGTCCATGGTATATTCAGTATTCTTCACAAATACTGCAATTCAAAGGCATCACTTCTGTTTTCCTTATTCAACAGTCTAGTTTTCATTAATACAGGGAAGCTCAAAATGAGGAAAGAAAAGTGTGAACATCTGTTAATAATCTGTACTTGCAGTGTGTGAAGTATTAATCAAAGGTAATTAAAAGTTGTAAAAAATGAAATGGAACACTTATTTCCTAGTGACCATGGACTAGTATTGACTGGAATTAAACATCCCTATAGTAGGAGTGACTCTATGGCACCTAACAATAGTAACAACAACCAGGCTGCTCCTTGGAGGCAAGGATTCTGGGGCTTCGCCTGACATACTTTGGACATGTTGTAAGGAGAGACAGGTCTTTAGAGAGGGACATCATGCTGGGCAGAGTGGAGGGACAGCGCAGGAGGGGAAGACCCTCTATGAGGTGGATTAATTCAGTGACTGGGGTAATCGGGATGGGTGTGTCAGAGGCAATGAGATTGGCACAGGATAGAGCACAGTTTAGGGCTGTTGTACATAGGGTCGCTATGAGTCACAAACGACTCGACGGCACATAACAACAACAACAACAACATAGTAGGAGTGACTCTATGGCACCTAACAACAGTAACAACAACATAGAGAGAGCTACATTGGCCTAGTGGACAGAAAGTTATGCTACCATGCCCAAGGTGGGTGATTTTAATCTGCGGCCCTCAGACCGGGTTCAAATTGTTTTCCTGTCAAACATTCTTCTAGGTGCATTGCTGTACAGAGGTAACTCGTGGTTGCTGTGATGCTAAACACTGTGACACTGATGTGACAATGTGAACAGTGTTTGCTGGAGCTTCTCGATTAAAACAAGCCTGGAAGCAGGAGTGGCACCCATTTCCGAAATGGCTTGCCTCTGGAAACTCTGTGTATGAACAGGGCTCAGGCTTTTCGTTCATAGGGTCACTATGAGTCGTCTACGACTCGATGGCACCTAATAACAGCAACAGCATAGTAGGAATAACACAGTGAAGAAAAATGATGTTAAATTCACTGTCAAGATTTATTTCAAGATTTATCCTGAAGTGCAACCCAATCAGTGATAAAATGATACTAAAATACCTATAGAGAAAATCAGTTAATATGAAATACTCATATTTACACTCCAATCCACTAATGCCCATGATGAATAAGTTAAAGGGTTGTATTTGGTTTGGTTTGGGGTTTTTTTTTTAATCAATTTCTGTAATCTGAAGTTGATCATGCACATAATCAGGATACATTGATAATTTTTATTGGAATGCAAAAGGAGGATCAGAAGCTGGAAAATAAGGTCTTGATGTTACAAAAGATGCTAGAGTTCACATAATAGAACATTAGAAGACTAATGACCAAGTCATTGGAAGTTCCTTTTCCATTCGGCCTAAACAGTAACTATAATACATGGACCTTGCTTATTGGAATATTCAGGAATCAAATGTACAGCTGTAGAAGAGATAGAAAAGCTCAACATCATCAATCACAATAATATGTATAGAAATACAAATTGAAGCTGAAGAGATTTTAAATAAGTTCATGAGAGCCAAAATACAACCTTAAGTATATCCCACCAGTATTCAGAAACTATTTCAAGAATAGTTTTGATGGACTGGACATCAATTACTAAGACTAAAATGTGTTTGGTGAGAACAGCAAGGACCTCAATTATGAAGACCGTAAAAGGTCACTGAAAAAAGGGGAAAAGAGAACAAAATGGATGTCAGAGCATACTGTGAAACTTGCTCTAGAGTGTAGGAAAGCTAATGAATGGAAAAAATGATGAACAGATTTCAGAGTGCTGCTCAGGAGATAGAGTAAAATATTATAAAGAAATATGCAAAGACTTGGGATTTAGAAGAAAACAAAAAGAGAAGACATGTTTGGTCTTTCTCAGACTGAAAGAACATAAAATATTTACACTTCTTTTTGAAATAGTGAAAGATTCTGTGGGCAAAATATTGAATAACACAAAACTTACAAAGAAAATGTAAGGAATACATAGTCACATTGTTCAACATTAAAATATTTCAGCAAATTTTTATATCAGTGACTCATGATAGTTAAGAAAGAAGTCCAAGGTCACTTGGAGGGAGTGATGAAAAATAAGGGAATTGATGAATATGAGTTAAAATATTTCCACAAACAGATACTGTACAAGACATGCTTTATGCCATCAAATTTGGAAAACAATTACCTGACAACCACCTGGAAAAAACCTATAGATATGCATGGTCCAAAGGAAGGTATTTAAACAGGATGTGGAGATTGTTGAACATTGTCATTAATACCACACGTGAATAAACTCTTGTTTTATTTATTTATTTATCTTACTCAATATTCAGAAATAGTTGCAGTAGTACATCGACGGGATACTTCTAGAAATTGCTACTTAGTAATGTAAAGGATCAAATTACTTATGGTACTCAACAGCAAACCCTCAGAAAGCTCTAGCTTTAATTTGCTGCTGATTCATTCAGGATTACATAAAACTATAATGTTGGACAAAAAAAGTCTGACCAAAAAAGAGCATATCTCATGATTTCACTTGTATAAAGGGCAGAGCTGATCATGTCCTTAGAAGTCAACATAGTGATTATTTCGGGGTGGGGGGCGGATTATTGAAATGCTCATGAGGTGAGTGCTAGCTTCAAGTATGTGTCACTTTTTTGAGGATTTATTGAAGTGTATGTTTATTATTTGTCTCCTGTTGGTATGCAATACCTTAATAAGACATTGACTGGGATGTGGGTGGGGTGGGAAACTACTGTGTGGTTTAACCAGTGGTTTTGTTTTTCTCTGAAGGCATGCTTCCTAAGGGCCAAGTGACAGACACACTTACCAAAGAAGGTCCTGCTTCCCCAAGGTATGCATTCTTGTTGTATTTATCTAAAACTTAATGCTTTCCATACCAGTATTTGCCCCTTTATTTTTTTAATGAAAATAGCTCTGAGTTTGATTTATTGCTTGTTAATCATATTTCTTTGATATAAGAACTGCAGTACTTCATTTATTAGACCTTCTTGGAGACTGAACTGTTCCATGAATCCATGTTCTATGAATTTATAATGTATCTGAAGCTTGATTCATTTTAAATACCAAAATATAAAATAGTATGTTAAATTTTCTTTCTAATTCTAAAATATTCCTTCATTGTTGGAAAAGAAAGAGAAATATAAAAGATTAAAAATGGTAAGAGTTGATGGTTAATTCTGTCAGCCTTAGCTTTTGGTTTATTCCAGTTTAATTCATGTAGTACCTGTTTCTTTATTTTATGCCATATTGGTATCACAGTTTATCCTATGAGCAATTTCCTGTCATTAAATATACTGATTAGCCATTTTTATTTTTCTATTTTCTATCATGACAATATAATTTAACTTATTTTTATTTATTTATTTATTTATTTATTTATTTTTATTTTTGTGTGCGTATACTGTCAAATCAGATCTGACTGGTACAGGAGGAGATTGTCCCTCCTTCCCCAGCAGAGCATCTGGTGGATTTTAACCGTGCGCCTCTGGGATTATAGTTGCAGCTCCTTGCCACTAGGCCACCAGAGCTCCCCTTAACTTATATTTTTATGTACCCAGTTTATTGATTTTTAATGTAAACTTTTACAACACATAGAATTTTTTTAAGTCATATTTGAAATGCCCACATTTGTATTCTCTGTGATGCTTTTCTCTGCCACCTTTTTCCCCATTGCTAATTAGTATGATTTTAACAGTAATATCTTGCTATGTTTGTTAATATCTGTTAAATTTTTCCATACATCATTTTAAGGTAGAGCCTGAGGATGACTCCAGGGTTTACCTATGGGTGCCTATTATGTAGTAAATGCTAAAAGAGTTTTCATTTGATCTGTAACTATAACAAAACAGAAGACTTAATTATGTCTTAAGTTTTATTATTGTGTTGTTGTTGCTGTGTACTGTTGAGTTGAAATCCACCCATAGCTGACCCTCTAGCAGGTTTTCAGAGGCAGTTAATTACATTGGAGGAGACTGCCCATTCTTTTCCTATGGAACAGCTGGTGGCCTCGAACCATATGCCTTTGGGTTTGCAGTGCAGCTTCTTGCCAATAGGCCACCAGAGCTCCCTCTTAAGTTTTACTATCAACCAATAAAACTAAAATGAATTAATTTCTTTAGTGATGATAATGAAGGCATGCTCCCTATTAAAACATACTATCTTCTCTTATAGGTATAATAAAAGAAGATTTATAAAGAAGTGTATAACCATTATAAAAAAATGTTTTGTCAAGGATATTTTTTTCTTCTTGTTTTACCCATATTGTATTACATGGAGATAAAACAAGTTTTACATTTAGGAGTAATTCAGTTATATAATGAAGAGCTTAGCATGGTAAGACCATTTACCATGATTTGTTGTTGTTGTTATTAAGTGCTGTCGAGTCGCATGCGACTCATAGTGACCCTATGAAGGAGAGTCCTCAACGCTTGGGTGCCTTTCATCCTCTCTCCAGTTTCATAGGGTCTCCGGAGGCAAGCTATTATGGAAGTGGATGCCACTCCTTCTTCCAAGCTCCACCCCACTCTCAGTCCGCATTGGGTAACCAACCATTAACGCATTTGACACATCAGTGTCACAGTATTCAGCCTCACAGCAACCACAAGTGACCGCGGACGGCAACTTGTACACCAGGGCTATGCAACCTAGAGGAATGTCTGAACAAAAACAATGGAAGAAAGGCCCGAGGGCCGCAGAGTAAGAGTCACCTACCTTTGGTTTGGTATCATCGCTTTCTGTCCACTGGGCCAGCTGATCTCTCTCTCTATGTTGATGTTACCATGATTTAGGGGGGAAAAAAATTAACCTAGAGGAATATTCCTCACTATAAATTTAGACATTTAAATGTTAGTGAACATGATTGTCAATATAATTATCCATTCTTCTCAATATTTTACAGCTATGACTGGTTCCAAACAGAGTCTTTAGTCACCATTGTCATATATACTAAACAGAAGGTAAATACATCTTTTTTTCCCTTTCACCTATTATGTTGTTATTTTTTAGAATATATATTTAAAAAATACAGCAGTTTCTGCATGTACAGTTCAGTCACATTAATTATTTTCTTCAACTTGTCTAACCATCCTTACCCTCCTTTTCTAAATTGTTCTTTTTATGTTAACATAAACATACTGTCCTCAGATTTCCCATTTAATCTTGCTAGTTGCTGGTGGTAATTCAATTCAGTATAATTAGATCTTGAAAAAGCACCATGCTCAAGAAAGATATAATTTACTAGTTAATATAAAAAATATTCCCTTTGGGATTATATATGCAAACATTATTCCTTTTGGGATATTATTATTTGTGATTATGCTAGGACAGTAGATCTAAGGGTTTATCTAGCCTATCTCTAGAAAGTCTAGAGTCAATAAGAATCTTAAATTCTGATCTACATTCCCTTCCCCCCTTTGATAAGAATTATTTTCAAATCTTTGATCAAAATAAGAATAACAGTAGCCAAGCACATCCAGTTCTTCTGGTTTTCTGGGAAAAGTAACAGTTGTTTAGGAAGACAGTTAGCTGCACATAACATATCCTCATCCTATTCCTGACTCTTCTTCCTTAGTTGCTTGCTGCAGACAAATAGAGATCGTTGTTAGGCCTTGGACAGCAGCTTGCAAGCTGGTAAGACTCCAGGCACTGCATAACAAAGTAAAAGGAAGAGAAACATTCCACATGCCATCAGGCCAGTTAACTGGAGTCCCCCATGAAACCATGACCTTAAACTTCCAAACCAAAGAACCAAATCCCATGGAGATTTTAGTTGTATATAAACAGCTTAAACAGTTTATTTATCATTGTTTATTTATTTATTGTTTGTTTATTATTGTATCAAAGGTCACCTATCACATGACCTTTAGTTAAAATGTCTTTAAACTGAGGAAAAACAAAAAGTAAATACTCAGTGAACATTAATTATATGCCAAGTGCTTTTCTAAATTGTTTTCTTGATTTCTTCAAAAATGGAAGGTAAATACTATTATCCCTATTTCGCAGATTAGGAAATAGATTAATATATTTATCCAAAGTAAATGTTAGAGTTGACATTTTGGACTCTAGGTTCTGGCTCCGGACAGTATTATTTTAATGATCATGTTGTAGCCAATTAAAAAAAAAAATCTACAAATAAGACTAGGAAATAATTTAGATACTTTTCTTGTGATTTTTTTTAAAGTATAGTTAGTAACATTAAGAGAATATGTCGACTTCCTCATAATAAAAAGTTAATTGCATGTAAGAGATTGATTGTATTAGTGTAACTTTGTTTTGTTAAACCATTAATGTTCCTCAGATACCCTGCTGAAACTAAAATTAAGGAGGTAATTTATTCAATAAGTATTTATTGCCTGTCTTGGAGAGGGAGAAATTAGTTTGCACTTTGGAGGCAAGGATTTTGGTCATGGATAAGGATGTCATGCTTAACACAGCAGAGTAATACCCGGGAGGAGATGAATTGACACAGTAACGGTGGCAGTGGGGGCATGTGGGCATGGTTTTTGGAAACAGTGAGACTGGCTCAGGACAGGGCAGGGTTCAAAACTATTGTACATAGGGTCATTATGAGTAATAGTCAGTTGACAGCACACACCACCAACAACAAATATACGGATCTAAAAAGGGGAAAGATCCAGTGTGAAAAACAATCCATGTGAACTTTGTAAGTCAACCAGTATAAAATAAAAATGTTATTACAAATAAAACAGGCCAGATACTAGAGATTTGCCCTAGGTGCTGCTTATCCTGTCTCCTCATCCAAAATTAAAAGGGTAATGCCCTAGGAGAGTGTGGTCTGTACTGAGGCGATGCATAAACTGTTGATGACAGTTACTGTTAATTCAACAATTTTTGGCAGTCTCGTTTGTGCTCCTTAAAATTTTCAAAATGAGGCCCTAGGAATAGGTGGGATACCAACTGACATGTTTCAAATGACAGATGGAGCACTGGATGCACTCACCCATCTCTGCCAGGAAATTTGGAGGACAGCTGCCTGGCCAGACAACTAGAACAGATCCATGTTTGTTCCCATTCCCAAGAAAAGTGATCTAATAGAATGTGGACATTATCAAATAATGCCTTTATTATTTGCTGAAGATAACTCAAAGGGATACATAGACGTACATAGAAAGGGAACTACAGAAATTCAAGCTGCATTCAAAAGAGATTGTGATACCAGGTGTATCATTGTCGATGTCAGATGGATCCTGGCTGAGAGCAGAGAGTATCAGAACAGTGTCTATTTGTGCATTATTGACCATGCAAAGGCATTTAACTATGTGGCTCATAATAGTCAGGGCTAACATTGAGAAGAATGAGAATCCCAGAACACTTAATTGTCCATTTGCAAAAGCTATAACCTGAGAAAATGAGAACAGAGGCACAAATGGAGATTCATACATCAGTGTTCATGGCAGCATTATTCACCATCACAAGAACATGAAAACAGCCCAAATGTCCAACCACAAGTGAATGGATTGAGAAATAATGGTACATTAACACAGTGGAATACTTTGCAGCACAAAGGAGTAATGATTTTGTAAATTATTACCTACCTTGGGAGGGACTGGAGAGCATTATGCTGAGAGAACTAACTCAGACCCACAGGATAAATACTGTATAAAACCATTATTGTAGAATGAGTATAAGGATCCAGGAGGGGTAGGAGAGGCTGGAAGCAGAGGGGTGAGGATATTCAGGGGAAGGACGGGAATTAATCAAGTTGCTGTACAGTTTGATGAGGGGAGGGGGAATTGAAAGAATTTGTTCTTGATTCAAATTTTGTAAATAAACTAGTAGAAAATTTTTAAAAAGGAAAAAAAGCAATACCTAGACCAAGAAGCTATTATGTGAACAGAGCAAGAGAAAAATACTGTATAGATTAAAATTAAGAAAGGAGTGCACCAGGGTTGTATACTCTTTCCATGCCTGTTCAATCTATATGCAGTCTGTATGCTGAGCAAATTATTTGAGAAGATAGACTCTATGAAGAAAAATGTGGCATCAAAATTGGAGGAAGACTCATCAATATCCTGTGTTATGCAGATGACACAACCTTGCTTGATGAAAGTGAGGGAAACTTAAAATACTTGCTGTACAAGGTCAAACACTTAAGCCTTAAAAATGAATTGCATCTCAATGTCATAAAAGCAAAATTTCTTACCACTATCCCAATAGGCAACATCATAATAAATAAAGAAAAGGTTGGAACTTTCAATGGCTTCATCTTACTTGGATACAGTCAATACACTTGGCACCAGCAGTTAGAAGATAGAAGATGTGTTGCACTAGGAAAGGCTGCAGTCAAGAACCTCTCCAAATTACTGAGGAGCAGTGATGTTAGTTTGAGGACTACAATGTGCCTGATTCAGACCATGGTCTTTTTCAAACATTTGCTGTGCATCTGAGAGCTGGACAGTGAATACGCATGAGAGAAGAATTAATGCCTTTGAGTTGTGTTGTTGGAGGACAGTGTAGAATATCCCGTGGACTGCCAAAAGTTCAAACAGTGTTGTCTTGAACCAGGTGAAGCTTCATTTTGCATGTGTTGGGCATGTTGTTAGGAGAAGCGAAATCAGACTTCGAAGGGTGGAGGGATAGTGCAGAAAAGGATATCCTTCAGCCAGATAGATTAACATTGTGGCTGCAGCACTGGACTCTAGTGTGTTAGAGATTATGAGGTTGGCACAGAATAGAACTGGATTCATATCTGTTGTTTGTAGGGTTACAGTGAGTCGTACTCAATTTGAAGGCACCTAACAACAACAACAGTTTTCAAGGCATGTGGCCTTGAAGCAGATTGAGAGCTGTCTCCTAAAACACCATTTGGTGAATTCAGACCTGTAACCTCTCAGCTACTAATAGAACCTCTGTGTGTATGTGTGTGTGCGCGTGCACATTTGTGCATCTGCACGCAAATTATTTTTAAATTTGTGTTACACAAATGAGTGTCAGCATTCTAATTTCTACCCTGCTTTCCCGGTTTCCATCTGTCTCATTTCTCTATCTGTTCTTGCCTTCTCATCTTTGCTTTTGGACACATATTGTCCATTTGGTCTCATGTAACTATTGTAAACAGCACATTCCTCATAAGTGTTGTTTATTTTAAATGCCATTCTGTTATTTGGCTGAAAGAGGGCCTCTAAGAGTGCCTTCAGTTCCAAGTGAAAAAGGTGTTTTAGGGTGATAGTCTTGACGATTCCTCCAGTCTCTTAGCAGTCTAGTAAGTCTGATCTTGATTTTTTTCAAAAATTATTTTTTTTGTTGTTGTTGTTGTATATTTTTATCCCCTCCTAACAAGACCTCCTGTTAAGTTCTTGGGGAGACCTCTCAGAAGGTAACCGGACACTATCTAGTTCTTCTGGTTTTTTATCCCTCCTAACAAGACCTCCCGAATGTGGAAACTACAGAACAATTTCACTGATTTCACATGCAAGCAAGATTTTACTGAAGATTATCCAAAAACGACTGGAACAGCACATCAACAGTGAACTACCAGAAATCCAGGCTGGTTTCAGAAGCGTTATGCGGATGATACAACCCTGCTTGCTGAAACTGAGGAGGACCTGAAGCACCTGCTTCAGAGTGTCAAGTACTGCACCCTATAATATGGATTGAGGCTCAATGTCAAGAAGACAAAGATTCTCACCACTGGACCAATTGGCAGCATCAGGATGGATGGTGAAGAGATTGAGATTGTACACAGCTTTAGTTTGCTTGGCTCCTTAGTCAACAGTCTTGGCCCCAGCAGCCAGGAAATTAAAAGGCGCATTGCCATGGGAAAGTCTGCTGTTAGGGACCTCTCCAAAGTGCTAAAGAGCAGTGGTGTGTCTCTGGAGACTAAGGTGCGTCTGATACAGGCCATGGTCTTCGCATTCACCTGTTATGCATCAGAGAGTTGGACAATGACCAAGGAGGATAGAAGGAGAACTGATGCCTTTGAGCTGTGGTGCTGGAG